CTCTTTCCATTTCCCATCATTAATAAAAGAAGGTTCAGTCATTTGGGTTTGTGCGTCAGTATTTAAATAAAACAGTACAAAGGCACAACAATAATCGACAGACATTGTTGTTACCCTGCTTGGCCACATCTACATAGTTTGCGTGGCCTTGGGTGACGTAGAGATAGGCTGCTCATTTGCCCATTTGTGGCTAAGATGTACATGGCAGTTACCCTCTTTGTGGACATGGGTGCCAGGGATGCATTTCCAGATGAAGCTGTAACAGCATTATTGCTATGTCTCTGCCACTGGGCCCAGAAATTTGCGCTATCAGAAGGGTCAAGGAGTTTCCATGAGGGATATTATCCTCATCCTCCTCTTAGCCGCAGGCTGGCCAGAGGGAATTTCTCCCTGCACACAAATGATTTCCACTCCAGAAAGCCCTGCACTGTCAATACTACTGATCACTCAAGGTTATCGTGCAGCACGTGCTCTCTGTCCATCTGTATGCAGTACCTGTACGTATTCAGAATGTTGACACATAAGGCTCTCCAAGAGGTTAATGACTCTTTCAATGGAGGAAGCCATTCAAAGCCCAAAGCCATAGTAGCAAATAAAGACTGGATTAACTCCTCTATTCTCAGGCCATGACCTTGCACTACCTAAGAAATACCTCATGGAAGCAGATCTGCTGCTGGTCTAGGGAATGCCTTCTTTCCTGCAACTCTGAGGCCCTGTATCTATGTCTGGATGAGGAAGCAGTCCTCAGCTGCCTCCGGCATCTCCTTTTGCATGCCACCCGATCTTAGTCATAGAGTCGGACAGCACGGAGACACATCCTTTGTTACAACTCATCCATGCTGACCAGGTTTCCTAAACTGAACTCGTCCCATTTGCCTGTGTTTGGCCCTGTCGCTCTAAACTTTTTCTATGTTCCTGTCCAAATGTCTTTTAACTATTGTAGTTGTACTCACCTCTACCACTTCCTCTGGAAGCTCATTTACATGCATCACTCTTTGTGTGATAAAATTTCCCCTCAGATCCCTTTTAAATCTTTTCTCTCTCACCTTAGACCTATGCCTTCTAGTTTTGGACTCACCTACCCTGAGGAAAAGACCTTGGCCACTCATCTTATCCATGCCCCTCATGATTTTATTAATCTCTAAGGTCACCCTTCAGCCTCCAATGCTCCAGGGGAAAAAAAAGTCCCAGCCTATCCAGCCTCTCCTTATAACTCGAAACCATCTAGTTTTGGTAATGTCCTTGCAGATTTCTTTTTGCACTTTTTCCAGTTTAACAATTTCCTTTCTATAGCAAGGGGATCAGAACTGTATGCAGTATTCCAAATACGGCTTTACCAATGTCTTGTACTGCCATAACATGAAATCCCAACTCCTGTACTCAATGCTCTGATCTAGGAAGGCAAGTGTGCCAAACCCTGTCTACTTGTGAAGCCACTTTCAAGGAACTACGTGTCTGCACCCCTATGTCTCTCTGTTTGAGAACACTCCCCAGGGCCCTGCCATTAACTGTAAGTCCTACTCTGGTTGGTCTTACCAAAATGCAACACCTCACACTTATCTAAATTAAACTCCATCTACTATTCCTTGGCCCACTGGCCCAGTTGATCCAGATCCTGTTGTACTTAGTTAACCTTCTTCACTGCCCACAAAACCACCAGTTTTGGAGTCATCCGCAAACTTACAAACCGTACCTCCTATATTCTCATCCAAATCGTTTATATAACTGATGAACAACAGTGGGCCCAGCACCGATCCTTGTGGCACACCGCTGGTCACAGTCCTCTGGTCTGAACAATAACCCTCCACCACCACCCTGTCTGCTACCGTCAAACCAAGTTTGAATCCAACTGGCTTGCTCTCCCCAGATCCCATGTGATCTAATCTTACTTACCAGTATACCATGTGAAACCTTGTTGAAGGCCTTGCTAATATTCACGCAGACAATGTCTACTGATCTGCCTTCATCTATCTTTTTGCTTGGCTCTTCAAAAAATTTAATCAAGTTTGTGAGACATGATCTTTCACACACAGAGCCATAGTGACTATCCCTAATCAGTCCTTACCTTTCCGAATGCATGTAGATCCTGTCTCTCCAAATCCCCTCCAAAGACTTAACCACCCATGACTTCAAGCTCACTGGTCTGTAGTTCCCTGGCTTTTTCTTGCAGCCTTTCTTAAATAATGGCACAATATTAGTCATCCTCAAAACCTTCTGGCACCTCACCTGTGGCTGTCGATGATTCAAATATTTCTGCTAGAGGCCCAGCAATCACTTCCCGACCTTCCCACAATGTCCTGGGAATGTACTCTACTCCTGCCAGTCTTGCCCTTCACACTGAACTATTACATACAAGGGTCATCATTGGCTGAATCTGCAACGGCAGAGAGTGAACTTGCAACATGCAGCTGTAGCTTTTCAGACCATTGTTGTTGCTGTTAGGATCTGGTGATTGAGAGGGACATGGTCTCAGTATTTCTATTTTTTCATTATTGAGAGGCACTAGATCATGTGAATAAACCTTGGAGAGCTAAAGCCACTGCAGTAGTCAGACTTCCCAGTACTAATTACTCTGTATGTTATTAGATTAGCAGTATGCTACTAGATTGGGTAGAGTACAACAAATCCCTTAATAAACACAGTAAACTCTGTAATCACTATAGCCACTCTAACTGAAAACATTGACTATGGTTCAGGTGATGTACACCGTTCCCTCCTCAGTAGTAATTATAATGTATATTAGGGAACTCTTCTATATGTCTGCGACCAGAAGCTGTATGTTCCAGTGTAGGTACAATGATAGCTCTGAGCCAGAGGTGCTGGTAAGTGCCATGGGCACAAACCCTTCCCACGTTCAGGAACAGCAGGCACCAGTGTCCTATCCTTACTGTTAGGAATTGCACTCAACTTGTCAGAGCACATCAGGTCATTAACCCCTGCGGCACTGGATCCAAACTGCTTTTACTGATTAGGCCAGTTATTTCCATCCATGCCCCTCAGTCTGGCTATGTGACCAGTTCCTGCCACTCTTGACAGAGAGGACCTCCCTCCTCTCGTTTATGCACTCAGAGGATGTCCAGTTCTGTAGTCGGTAGTCAGACAACCTAAGCCTCTGGCTCTCCTAAATTAGTTTTCAATTCTTTCATTGTCTAATTTAAGCGTGATTTCAAGGCAGCCATTGGCTATTGTGTTCTGTTTAAATCAGACCTGCAGTTGAATAGTGCTGAGACTAATCCTTTCCACCCCATTATCCACAGCGGTCATTAGTTGGCAATAAACCTAGTCTGGGATATTAATGGGACATTTTTGAGAAAATAGTCAGCAGGTTCTGGATTGAGAAAGATTCCAGGTCCTTGGCAAAGAGCAGAAAGAGAATGGGAGGCTGGAGGAGGACTGGGACAGAAATAACATGTACAGAGTGCACAAGGGAGGCTTTGTGGGGGGTGGGGTGTAATTTTACATTTTAAATTTCATATTTCAGGTCAGAATACAATCATTCGCACTACTGTCTCAACAACTAAACTCATTTACTGAAGGGGCAGGTTTTTTAAAAATAATTGCACTGTGTGATCTTAAATTATAACTCCACCATAGCAAAATAACTCTTTGTAAATTATGTTAGGTCAGTCCTATGACAGTATTCTATTCAATTCAGTTACCAGCATCATGGGAAATCAGTTAGTAGCTCTTTAATTTCTCCCTCCAGCCCCTGCAGCACATCTTGCATTTTTGTAGTTGACTCCAACACATCACTAAAATTTCAAATGCTTTCAAATGATTTTGTATGTCACAACTAATGAACTGTTGTACTTATGTTTCAATTATTTGTTGATTAAGTTTTGAGATGCAAATTTCCAATAAATCAATTGTACGGCAATAATTCAGAGTTTTTTCAACTCAGTTCTTAAGTTTGCAGCTACAATATTAGCCTACACATTTAAATCAGATCAAGTAATGTTTTTGAAGTTTGTAACAAAAAAATGTTCTGAAGTGTTACTGAAAATTTTAACAAGTTCAGTGTGATATTTTCGCTGTAATTCAGATGAGCTGACAATTTATATACAAGTGCACTGTGGGATTTGGAACCTAGTCCTGTAACAATGGCCCTCAGTTCCACACTATGTCTGTGCTGAGTTGTTGGGCATCAACATAGTGGCACAACTGGATTTGGTGCCCATAGAAAGAAAAATGGCTGTTCATTGAGCTTTCATATATTCCAATCTTACCTCCTGCTAGCATCATCGAAACTTTGCCACAAACAGGTGCTTATTTTCTCCATTTTATCACAAACATAAAACAGTTATTAAGGCAACTTTGTATCTAATGGCAAGCAGTATGTCAGGCTATTAACAGTTTTTGCTTAACTAATGAAGGCTCTTGTGATTATGAGCCTTCTGTTCTATAACAGGGCACAGTTACAGACGTTAAGTTGGGCCGTGTAATTTGATTTCACTGACTCTTTCTGCAAAATACAGTGGCACATTCACTGAAATAGCAAACTGGTGAGTATTATTTGCATAAAACAAAACAAAGAATTGCAGATGTTGGTAATCTGAAACCAAAACCAATTGTTGGAGGAGCTTAACAGATCTGGCAGCATCTGTGAAGAGAAAGCAGAGCCAACGTTCCAAGTCCCTTCTTCCGAAGGAGGAGGATCACGGGACTCAAAGCATTAACTCTGCTTTCTCTGCATAAATGCTGCCAGATGCATGGAGCTCCCCCTGTAACTTTTGTTTCTGTTTCAGTTTTAGTTTTATTTGCATGTTTACTCAGCTTTCTTATCTGTTGATCGATATTCCTAACTAGTGCAGTAAGTTTTTGAATTACATTTCTCCAGTAGCTTCTGAGAAACCACTTAAATGGAGGGAGATTAGTGACTACTGTCTTTTAATTATTAAAAAAAACCCATATATTTTGCTTCCTCACCAAATAATATCACAAATACAATATTTGTATATAAAACACTTTTTAAACTTTATTGAACTGATTTTAATGCCGCTTTCATTTTACAGTTAAAACTATCAAACTACATATTTTTAAAACATAGAAAGCTCTTTTGCACACAGTGATATTCTAAACAAGACTTTTAATAAGATTTTTCCAAGACTGAAATATGAAATTAAGGTTAATTTAATAGCAAAAATAAAATATGGAATTACTGATTTTTGGCATTATCCAATACAACAGGACTACAATATTTTACACATAATGACTGAGCATTTTACACATGTACAGTAACCATCAGTAAACGTGATCTTGAATTCAATGACAATGACACTATGCTAAATGTAAACTAGATTATCGCCTGTTTTGTCGTATTAGTGTTTCATTTTGCTAGCATCTGACAAAATCTTTACAATCCATGTCCATTATGATGAATACATATTTTACTTAAGTTTAAACAAATCAGACCAAGTTAAAATTTAATTAAAAACCATGAGACCAAGGCGGTATTTAAATAGTGGAGCTAATGCACATATAATAAAAGGAACAATTAGAAAAAATTTCCATTTCTTTCTCATTAAATATCAACTTCAAGGAATGATAAGCTATAAGGGGGTGGGGGTGGGGGGTCCCTTTAATCCGACAATGATAACCAATAGCTCAGTGCAATGTGGGAATATGCTTGCTCCACATTTGTTGTAAGGGATCATAGGGAAGCAACATTCTTTTATGCACTGTCAAAGCCTTGGTTCAGTTAAATGGGTTTCATCAAATATACTTGCACACTGGAGGTGGCAAGGGGTAAAAAAGGATCTTGAGAGCTCAGATTTTTGTTGGGTACGGTACATGTGATGAGTGTGTAATAATAAATTGGAATAGGCCAAGCAGAATTTCAAAATCACTGCAGACATCAGTGTAAGAAATTAGAAAACATTTAGTGCAATGAATTAGGAAAACTACACCATCATTAGTCAAATCAAAAATCAGCACCATTTATGGGAGGGCTGCAGTAGGGAGAACAGGGAAGAGACAAAAAAAAAGTAGGGTTGCTTTCCAAATTCATTGTGAATTTCCTCTTCTAGTCTTGCCATACACCAATCCTTTCACAAACATTTGAAAATCAACAAAAACAGCATGTATCAATAAAGGCAAGCTCTCGCTGCCCTTGAGCAAAGAGGTCTCCATGCCCACAGCATACAAAACAGCAGTTTGTTCCATTGTCTTAGCTTGAGTTTGTCCTGTACACCACAGATTTTTGATAACACAACTCCCTTTAAGGTAAAGGAGCTTTTCCAACACCTATGCTGCTGTCATTCCAAGTTTTAGGTTAAACTTGACTATGGTAGAAGGGAGTGTGCTGCGAGGTAGAACCTTAAGCTTCACCAGCCAATGAGATCTAACATTTTCAGAAGCCCAAGCTCTCATTATCGGGCTTTCTTTCCCTGTGCCTTAGAAAGGGAGCAAATTCCCCTGAAGACGAGCTGCAGTCACACCTACACAGGTCACCATACGTTCCAAGCACCATTAGTGCAACATACTGCGTTGCACATTAAATTTAGCTGGCCTATTTCTACAGTCTTAATCTGAAGTGAAAGATTTTCTTGTAAATGCACACAAACATGCGATTTTAGAATTTATTTCAGCCCAAAGCTAACGAGCCACGCCATACGCGCAATGCACCTGAGAACTTGATTTTTTTTTTCCATCTTAGCAGACATGTCTGACAACCTGTTCACCATGCTCATCAGTCCACTTTATTGACCATATTAACAGAGACTAAAGCCCAGAGATCTATACAGGTGTGAGTGGCATGACAACTGAAGATTAGTAAAGAATTTGAAATGTGCAATCTTTCTGGCAGTAAAATACCATTCTGTGCAGGTGTTTAACTGCACAGAAAGATGGGGTTAGACTTCGATTACCTGCATCAGCTTATCTCGGTTCAATTTGGACAAATTTTGGTCTACATAAAACTAGGTTTATTTTGATACATATCTGTGTACAAATCACAGTTTGAGCATATACTTTCATGGCCATTACTGCTGATTTTGGTAATCGAAAAGGTTTGTGTGAGTAATCCTAAATTATTGAAAACGGTATGGTCTAAAATTCCAGAAAATTAGAAACTTCCAGTCAGTATTTAAACAGTAAAAATGATAAACACGCCAGGGCAGAGCAAAAACAAATAAGTTTGGACAAGAGAGAAGGAAATCAAGCTTTGTGTAACAAAGAATATTAGTCGAATGCAGATTAATTTGTCAGTACTTGCAGCCAAAAAGACATTACTAGGTTTTGCTTTAATGGCATGATTATTGAGCGCCAACAACTCACTGCAGATTGAAAGGGGAGATTGCTTCATGAACTGCTGTCTTCTATTTTTGAAACATTCTATGACAATCATTACCATGAACATTGATATGAATGTCAGCATTTTCCATCACTGACACCAGCATTATCATCAGCATCATACAAGCCAGGACCGATATACTGAAAGCTTCAGGTGGTTAGTTAATGTTGATTAAAAGTTTAAATAGAATGAACTTTACAAGTTATTTTTGCAGAAGAGGTTTAATATGAACATGCAGATTAGCAGTTTGTTGTTCCCCAGCTAGAAAGATGTATATAATTTCCCACCTACATACCTGTCCATACTAAACTGGAATCACCCAATATTGATATTTGAGTGTCTGGTGGGGTCTGAATTTCTCTAAGTATCTATTTTTAAAATGTAAACACCAATTCATTTACTAACCTGCCAATTTGGGAATCATGTAAACTTTTCAATATTGTACAAAAATAACCAGGAAAGAAAATCCTTCCGAAAAGCAAATCCTCAACTTGGGGCTATTGGGATGGAGTTTGAAGAGTGGGTGGGAGGGTTTGACAGTGGGAGATGGAGAGAAAATCATACATCTCATTTCAAATAGAAAGTTTGGCATTACACGCTTTGGTCATAAAAGTAAAATACTGACAAGTTAGTTATTCCAGATGTCAGACAGTAAACACCTGAAGTGAAAGGTAGGTCTGTTGTAATTGCTTCACCAATAAAAGTTCTGTCACACAGTTCCCCACCTGCTTGGAGGAGGAGAAAGGGTGGCTTTCTATTTTTTAATATTAAAAGAATTTACATGTGTGCATACAGGAGCAAAGGAGGGGGAAACCCTGTGGTCATCTGTTCAACCTTTAAGTGAACATGTTCTGCAACACAGTTGTTGAAGCACTTTTCGTTGGCAAAGGCTGTTCTTTTTCACCAGGACGCAGAAACTTCCCTCGGCCCACGATTCTTCCGTTGCTTTCCAGAGATCGGGATCACAGAGACAGGAGTTTGAAGGTTGAAGGAAGTTGGAAGCAGAGGAACGAAGTAGGTGATTTTTCAGACAAGGCAGAAGAAATCAGTCAAGAGGTTGACAGAGCAATTTTTTTTTGTTCATCAGAAGCAATTGTGTCCGACAGGAAGTAAGTTGTCATTTTTTCAAACAGGAATTGATTTTATTCCATTTTGAAGAGGGAAAAAGATTAAACAGGAAGACATTAGAAAACAGTTGTTTAAAACATCATGAAAGTGAATCATAACCGTGGACAAAAGAACTGTTTAATCATATTAAAGAAAGCAAAATAGGAATCTAGAAAAAAAAGCATAAAATAACAAAACCTATATTTGCAATTGCAATAGACAAGTCCTCCATAGTACACACTGCAAATGATACATGAGTAACCATTTAAAATAAAGAATGACTACCAGTGGAAATGATAAAAATGCATTCTGACACTCGTTTGGAAGACCTTGGAATATTTAGCCTGCAGGCAGCACAATCCAACCAAGGAAATTATTTTGCTGAGTTTTTTTTGGATCACATACTGACAGAAATCCAAGACCTCCCCAAGCCAGCAGGGACAAACCAGTAGAAATAATTGCTTCTCCTCCTGTAATTTTTCACTATAAAATTTTCCAAAAGGACGGTCTTGTAAATAACACAATCTAAGAATATAAAGCATGCAGGAAGAAAATCCGATCAATCATTTGCCATTTAGTATACCTCAAATATTCCCATCTAAAACACAAAATATTCAGGCAACTCGAGATTCTGACAGTTGAGAATACCTGCCAAAATTGAAAAGGACTATCCTCACCTCACAATCACACTTTCCTGCAAGAGTAATGGGATACTAATATTCCCAGCTATGTTTGTACCTGAAGCAAAGTGCAGTTCCACCTAACAAAACTTCTGCTGTAATCAGTTAATTTAAAAATATATTATGAACTGAACCTAGATATTTTGAATCAACCTGTTCAAGTATTTGTGCCTATATGCCTTGCTACTTAAGCATTTATTCACTGAATCATTAAATTGTTTTTTCTCAGACATTTCATGTGTGTCTCTTATAAATCAGCAGAGTATACTGAATGAAAATGGTTGGGCTTCTGTTATGGATCATTCTATGGGCTCATACAAAAGACTGGCCTTTGGGCAAGTGACTGTGTAACTACCAGCCTGTACCGAAACAGCACATTCATTAAAGGGTAGAAAGAAATAAGTGGGAGTGGTAATTCATAGTCAAGTAGCAGAAATCAAAACCATGTGCCATTATCAAATACCAAAACCACTTTGATAGGTGGATGAAGAGTACCTTAATTTTTTAAGCTGACACTGCAAAGCATAAGTAGAACTTTTACTGACAAAATAGAAGCTGAATTACAAACCATCCACAGTTAGAGGCTTTCAAATAACATTAATGCTGCCAAATGAACTGATTTACTTTTACTCTCATGAGCAGAGATTGATGAAAAACAACAGTACTCACCATCTTTACAAACGGTACCAACCACACAGACTCCCCCCTCGAGATTATACCCACTTGGACAGGTACTGCAGTTTCTTTCTCCCTGGCCGGCACAAGTTAAACAGCTTGCATCACACCTTGAAAAAAAATTACATTTTTTTTCCCAAAGTCCCATAAATATTTTCCTAAATACAAGCAAAATACATACCGGAAGAGAGAAAGTGATTTTTCAATAGAAGGCAATTGCTGATCCAAAATCTTAAATGAAAAATTGTTTACACATCATTAAATTTTGGGAGAACAGATTGCAAAGTATTTAGCAACTGAACCAACAGGTTCCCAAAATCCACAAAGTTGCAGTTCTAGTGTTTATGTTACAATTGCACCTGCTGATTGTTGAACCCATTAACATTTATAGTGTTAAGCGAGTAGTCTATAGGAGCCAGCTCTTGGTGCTGTGGGGGCTTTCTGAATTCACAAGGAAGAGTGGCATCAGATGTCTGATTGGTTTGTGCATCTCTTCCTGAGTAGCAGTATAGTTTGTACAAAGGTTTCCTCCTCATGTTTCCCATGTTGCTCCTCTCCATTAACACCCTGGGTCAGACAAAAGGGATCATGGATAGTTACAGCAAAATGAGGCCACTTGGCCAATTATCTCTGTTAGCTCTTCAGCGTGATCATTCCAAATTAGCCCCAGTATGCTGATCTTTCCCGAAGTCTGCAGTTGACAAACTGTGTAAGATATTGCAAACTGAGAAGGTCAGGGTTAAACTTGAAAAGGGCATATAGCCGCTGATGGTGGAATGTCAGACAAGTGACAGATTACATTTAATTATGCATAATTAATTAATAGGACACTGTTAGCTAGGCCCATCTGTAACTATCTTTGAGAAGGTGGAAGTGAACTGACTTCTTGGGGAGTAGGTGTGTTCATAGTGCTGTTAGTGAAGAAGTACCAGGATTTTGACCCAGCAATAGTGAAGGAACGGCAATACAGTTCCTAGTCAGGATGGTGTGTAGTTTGAAGGGGAACTTACAGATGGTGGTGTGTCCGTACATCTGCTGACATCGACATTTTAGGTGGCAGAGATTGTGGGTTTGGCTAGTACTTTTTGACGCGTTTTTGGATGAGTTGGTGCAGTGCATCTTATAGCTGGTGTACACTGTGTCAGCAAAGGGAGTGTCTGTTGAAAATGGTGAGCTGTCAAGTGGGCTGCTGTACGATGGTGTTCAGCTACTCAAATGTTGTTGGAGCAGCACATATCCAGGCAAATGGAGCATATTCCATCATACTTCTGACTTGTGCCATATAGAAGGTGGAAAAGCATTGGGGAGACGGGAGTTGAGTTACTCGCCACAGAATTCCCAGCTCCTGGCCTGCTTCTGTAGCAACAGTTTAATGCAGGGAAGTGACAAGTGATTCATTTTTGTAGCAAGAATAGAGAGAGACAATATGGGGAAAAAAAGGAGAGCAGAAGCAATGGAACTGGTGTAGACAAATCATTGAAGGTGCCAGAGCAGGTTGATCCTGTGTTTCATAAATAAAAGCATGGAGTAGGCAGTTTTAATAATATTGTTTAGGCTCCTAATGGAGTAGAGTGTTCATTTTTGGGAAGTGCAATTTAGGGACGATACGAGGTATTAAAAGGGCAAAGTTAAGATTCACAGACATGCCTCCATAAGTGAGGAACTTCAGTTCCATAGACAGATTAGAGAACATAGAACAGAGAACAGAGAACAGTACAGCACAGTACAGGCCCTCTGGGCCCACAATATCGTGCCGACCTATTATCCTACTAAGATCAAACTACCCTGCATACCCTACATTATACGATCATGCATGTGCCTATCCAAGAGTCGCTTACATGTCTCTAAAGTATCCGACTCCACTTCCACTGCTGGCAGCACATTCCACACGCCCACCACTTTCTGTGTAAAGAACCTACCTCTGACATCTCCCATATACCTTCCTCCAATCACCTTAAAATTATGTGCCCTTGTAATTGTCATTTCTGCCCTGGGAAAAAGTCTCTGGCTATCCCCTCTATCATGCCTCTCATCATCTTGTATATCTCTATCAAGTCACCTCTCATCCTTCTTCACTCCAATGAGAAAAGCCCTAGCTCCCTCAACCTTTCCTCATAAGACTTGCCCTCCAGTCCAGGCAGCATCCTGGTAAATCTCTGCTGCACCTTCTCTAAAGCTTCTACTTCTTTCCTATAATGAGGCGACCAGAGCTGAACAGAATATTCCAAGTGTGGTCTAACCTGGGTTTTATAGAGCTGCAGCATGACCTCGTGGCTCTGAAACTCAATTCCACTGCCAATGAAAGCCAACACACCATACGCCTTCTTTACAACTCTATCAACTTGGGTAGCAACTTTGAGGAATCTATGGAGGTGGACCCCAAGATCCCTCTGTTCCTCCACACTGCCAAGAATCCTGCCATTGCAGCCATATTCTTTGCAGAAGACTAAATTGAAAGGAGATGTGTTAGAGACATTCTAAGTTATAAGGGATCTGGACAGTGCAATGGAGAGAAACTATTCCCACGGTTAGAAGGATTGAGAAGCATTAAGGTGATTGGTAGAAACAGTAACAGCATCTGGAAAAAGACTGTTTACACTGACTGATTAGGAATTGCAAAGCACCATCCAAGAGTTTGGTGGAGGCAGAATCAATTGTGATTTCCAAAAGAGACTTGGAATATTTCCAGGAGAGGAAACAATTGCAGGGCTACAGGGAAAAGTGGCATTAGGGGAACAGTCCTTGTAGAGAGCAAACAGAGAAATAACAGGCTGAATGGCTTCCTTTTGTGCTGTACAAATTCTATAACTTCTTCTGAATAATTTAGAGATGAGAAAATAGAAGAGTGGAACACAGTAAAACCCATATTCAGAATTAGAACATTTAAAAAAAAAATCAGCAAATACCTAACATTTTCATTCAATTGTTTGAATGTTTTCCCGACATTGCAACAATGCCTATATTTCAGAAATACTTCTGACATGTTTTGTGACATTCCATGGTTGAGGAAGGTTCTACATAAACGCAAATTTAAAGAAGATTGTTTATGTAAAGGAAAGGAATTGATTAGCGCTACACAATTAACTTAGATTTTTCTGCAAAGCCAGTCAGAGCTTTTGCGTAAAAGGGTATACTTTGAAATCAAGTAGAGAAATTAGATCACTGCTAAATCCTGAGGTGTTTAACAACGCTGGGCTTCAAAAAGTGAAACAAACAAAAAAAAAGTTAGCTATCTTCAAAAATCAATTTGAAAAACACCTCTGCAGATTTGGGTAATAATTCAATGTTTCTCCTCAAAAATAGGCAGATGGTGAATATATTGTGGAGGAGCAGATTGGCATAGCTTAATAATGCTTCGCAACCCATAAAAAAAAACTGCAAAATATATGTGGTCATTCTTAACAATTTCATTTTCTAATAATCACAACTTGCCTCCTGCATGTTTTTTCACCATTTTCAGATGTCTGATCTATATAGTAGCCAAGACTGCAACTCAGCACACATCTCCATTCCTCCAGGTAGTAAGCTGCAGCACACTGTGTACAGGACTCTTGGCCTGGACCTGCAACACAGGAAACAAACATAATTATGGTTACAGTAGATCAGGGCTTTCGAAGTGGGGAAAGGATCTTAAGTGGGGTTGCATCACAAGCTCAGGGGCAGCAATGGCTGACCACCATCATGCCCTTCTCCCCCACATACAATTTCACTTGCCATAACAGGCCATTTCCTCCTCCCTCCCACTCATCAAGAGGTTGTAGACATGCTCACTGAGCCGGTGGGTTTAGTTGCAAATGTTGTGTCACCCTGCTGGGTAACATTGTCAGTGTGCTTCTGGTGAAGCGTTGGTGTTCTGTCCCGCTTGTTACTTATATGCCTCAGTTTGCTGAGGCGATTGATATTATTTATGGTTTTGTTTCTCAGTGGTTTGCACACAGGGTCTAATTCAATGTGTTTGTTGATGGATTTCCGGCTGGAATACCAGGCCTCCAGGAATTCCCTGGCATGTCTCCGTTTGGCTTGTGCTGTTATCAATGTGTTGTCCCAGTCGAATTTGTGTCCCTTGTTGTCCGTGTGTAGTGAGACAAATGAGAATTGGTCGTGTCTCTTGGTGGCTAGTTGGTGTTCATGTATGCGTATTGTCAATTTTCTTCCCGTTTGGCCTACGGTGTGTTTCTCAGAGTCCTTGCATTGTATTTTGTATATAATCCCAGTTTTGGGTATGGGATCCTTTACGTTAGTCAGTTGCTGCCGTAGGGTGGTTGTCGGTTTGTGGGCTTCTCTGATACCTAGGGGTCTGAGTAGTCTTGTGGTCATTTCTGAAAAGTCCTTGATGTATGGTAGGGTGATTAGTGAGTCTGGTCATGTTGTCTTCCCGTCGTGGTCTGTTTTGGAGGTAATAGCGGATTGTGCTTTTTGGGTATCCATGTCTTTTGAAAACTTCGTGTAAGTGTTCCTGTTCTGCTTTGCATAGTTCCGGGTTGCTGCAACATGTTGTGGCTCGTTTGAATAAGTGGGACAGAACATCGAAGCTTCACCGGAGGCGCACTGACGATGTTACCTAGGAGGGTGACAAAACGTTTGCAACCAAACCCATCGGCTCAGTGAGCATGTCTACAACCTCATCCACAACCCGAGCTACAAATCTTTTTGAAAACTTTAAAAGTTGTCATAGTTGTCAAGCCTCAAAGCGGTATTGCAGTAGAAAATGGTTTGCAAAGTAGATCCTCCAGATTCAAATTGAGAAGTCGCATCTTACTAAAAAGACACTCACTTAGTGACAACATGAAAAGGGAAAGCTCATGTCCAATCTTTCGGTCAGAGATTTGAATCATGATTTGAAAATATGGTACTTTGTCATTGCTGGACATACTATTTAATCAGATTTGGTAGATGAGAATTTGACTGCAATCTCAGCCCATTTTTGCCTGTTTATATCTACATGTCTGATGGATGTTTATAGGACACATTCCACAAAATGAATGCAAATATTAAATGTCACGTGCTATTTTTAAGCAATTTTTCACTCTACAATCTCGATCAGGGGATTTTTGAAGTTGTGCATTTCAAAGTACGTCAGCACTACTGCAAGCAAAGGGAGAAGAAAACAATTTTAAGAAAATGGACAGTAGCTATCACTGTGAGAGCAACAATTTTCTCCTGCAAACAGAAAACCTTTTTGCTCAGTGCTCCAACCACAGTTCCCTGATGTGAAGTTAGCACAGGTTTTAAATTATTTTCATTTCTTGTGGAAGCAGAAGTAGAGTCCAAGTTAAAAGTGTTTTTGATATTTATTTATTCAGTATATTAGTTTTAATAACATCTATTCAGAAATTCCAACCATGAAATTCTGTAGTTGTTATCTTCATGCTGCAGTCTGGTAATCCAACAGAAACGATTGAACTAAACACATTTATTTGCAACCTGGAGTTCATCCACATGCCAGCAACAAATCAGTGCTGAAGCAAAGATAACATCCAAAATAACTCAACTTCAATAATGTATTCATACAGTCAGAGATATACGGCATGGAAACAGACCCTTCGGTCCAACTTGGCTGTGCTGACTTGATATCCTAAGGTAATCTAATTTCATTTGCCAGTATTTGGCCCACATCCCTCTAACCCTTCCGAATCATATACCCCTGCAGGTGTCTTTTAAAAGTTATAATTGCATCAGCGCCCACCACTTCCTCTGGCAGCTCATTACATACATGTACCACCCTCTGTGTGAAAAAGTTGCCCCTTAGATCTCTTAAATCCTTCCCCTCTCATCTTAAACCTATGCCCTCTATTTTAGACTTGCCCCCCGTCCCCGCCTTGGGCAAAAAGACCATGGCTATTCACCCTATCCATGTCCCTCATGATTTTATAAACCTCTAAGGTGACCCCTTAACCTCTAATGCTCCAAGGAAAATAGCCCTAGCCTATTCAGCCTCTCTCTATAGCTCAAATACTCTTAACTCTGGCAACATTCTCGTAAACCTTTTCTGAGCCCTTTCAAATTTCACAAACGTAGGAGAAGAACTGCTTGGATGCAATGCTGCACTGCTTTTAATAAATTATGGAGGACAATACATAATGTTATAAACCCAACTATCATTAGTGGACAATTTAAATCTCATACTCATATCTGGCTTGATGCATCATCTCTTTTGTTTTAATGAGGTGGTCTTTCATTGAAGCAATCATGCAATGCTTCAGGTTCAATTTTAATCACACATTTATTATGCAAAAGAAATTAAGAACAGAATAAAACAAATTATTTACTCAACAATTTCAAAGATTTAGGACCACCTAGTAAAATACAAGCCCATTAATCCCATAAGCAATCCTTCCCAGCACTGACAAGGGAGAATTCTCTTCTCTTTTATCCCTAAAAGGCTCAATTTACCTTAACTTACTCTGTCATGAGAATTTGCCAGACTCTTTTTGACGCATTCATACAACTGAGTTTAGACTTCCTGCGCTTCAAATAACGCTTTCAGAATTGTAACTAAGCGCTTCTGGTTTGGAAATTTCAAACTAAATAGCTTACACTAGGGCAACATATTTCTTAACAATTGAAAACAGTATCTTCTCAACAGGAGCAACAGTTTAACATATCCAGCTTTAGGCAAGTCTTCTGCAAAAATGCCAAATTGAAACCTAAACGTTCTTCTCTAAGCTATGGGTGTTTCCCCCAGTCAAAAGAAACAAAAAAAAACGAAGGCCTAACACACAACCGTTTACTTTTTTCACTCAAAACTAAACCCAAAAGAAAACCTCATTAGAATCACAGAAAAGAGGACTAGGTTATTCACCCCTTTGAGCCTGCTTCACTTTCCAATATGACAATTGCTGATCCTCTGTCTCGTTGCCATATTTTCACTTTCTCCCCCCTAACACTTGATGCCTTTGACCTCTTTAAAAAAATTACAAACTTGAAACTCTGTCCAAGTGTGTATAGTATTTAATAAATAAATCGCCTTGGTTACAGAAATGTTTCCAAGTTAATTAAAAACCTTCATATACAGACAAAATCCACATGCCACTAACTTAAATCTAAATTCTAATATAAATGATATATATTTGTATACATAAAATCCACCTTAAATCGCAGTTGATTGACTAAATGAAAAATTAGAAGATTGACTGAACACCCCCATGAGTAGTTCCATTGCACTGCTTCATTTGTACCCCTTCCCAACTCCTTCTACAGTAACAAAATAAACATCTAATGCTTGGGACACTGACATAATATCAAACGCATACATTTTATGCTAAATTTAAAAAGTATTCATTTGATGGAAAAATACCATTGGCACTTGCATACCTACACCAATTAAACGGTCCAACTTAGATCACCAAAAATGACAAAAAACCTTGGCAATTAGTCAGTCAGATAAACTATTTTTCCCTACTCTGCTGTGCTCCTCCCATCCATCTGAAAAACAAATTATTCTTATGGAGGTGCAGCAGGTGGTGAAGAAGTCAAATAGCATGTTGGCCTTCATAGCAAGGAGCAGGGATGCCTTGCTGCAACTCTAAAGGGCCTTGGTGAGACCATACTGGAGTATTGTATGCAGTTTTGGGCTCCTAATTGGAGGAAGGACATTCTGGCTATGGATGGAGCGTAACAAAGGTTTACCAGACTGATTCCTGGGATGGCCAGATTATGAAGAGACGCTAGATCAGTAAGGACTATATTCACTGGAGTATAAAAGAATCACACAGTTCTCAAACAAACCTATAAACTTCAAACAGGGCTAGGCAGGGTGAATGCAGGTAAGATGTTCATGATGACTGGTGAATCCAGAACCATGGATCACAGTCTAAGAAATCTGGGCCTTATGAATTCTCTGCTGCAGAATCGGATTCTGGCCAAAATAATGAATGTGGTCAAGAAGGAATTAGATATAGTTCTTAGGGCTAAGAGGGATTATGATTATATTGAATGGTGGATCAAACTCCAAGGGCCAAATGGCCTAGTCCTGCTCTAATTTTCAATGTTTCAACAACAAAAAAGGATGGTTTAAACAGCAAAGTTACCTGCACATGTTGCGCAGGATACATGACATTTCTCACACTCCCTGCTCATAGAATTAAAGTAAGTTCCAGCATCACAACTGAAAACACACTTTGGTCCTTGCAGCCTGTAAGGAAAAGGAAGAATAAATCACTGAAAACATTGGTGTGATGATACATAAAACATCGGAGATTTGGAAGATGATTTTCTATAAAAGTTAAATGCTGTTATTAGTGATCACCTCAACTCTTTCTGGGGGCAACAGGTTAAAACAGAAAAAGAGGGGGTAGGGACTTAGTGCCATCTAATTTACGACCTGCATTTTGGAAAAGCGAATCAGGGCAGGATTTATACATTTAATGGTAAAGTCCTGGGGTGTGTTGCTGAACAAAGAGACCTTGGAGTGCAAGTTCATAGTTCCTTGAAAGTGGAGTCCCAGTTAGGCAGGAATGTGAAGGCGGCATTTGGTATGCTTGCCTTTATTGGTCAGGGCATTGAGTGTAGGTGTTGGGAGGTCATGTTGCGGCTGTACAGCACATTGGTTAGGCCACTTTTGGAATACTGCATTCAATTCTGGTCTTTCTGCTATAGGGAGGATGTTGTGAAACTTGAAAGGGTTTCGAAAGATTTATAAGGATGTTGCCAGGGTTGGAGGATTTGAGCTATCGGGAGAGGCTTAATAGGTTGGTGCTATTTTCCCTGGAGCATCAGAGACTGAGGGACGACCTTACAGAGGTTTATAAAATCACGACGGGCATGGATAGGATGAATAGTCAAGGTCTTTTCCCTGGGATGGGGTGTCCAGAACTAGAGGGCATAGATTTAAGGTGCAAGGGGAAAGATTTAAAAGGGACCCAAGGGGCAACTTTATCGCACAGAGGGTGGCGCATGTATGCAATGAACTACCAGAGGAAGTGGTGGAGGCTGGTACAATTACAACATTTGAAAGGTATCTGGATGGGTATATGAATAGGAAGGGTTTAGAGGGATATGGGCCAAATGCTGGCAAATGGGACTAGGTTTATTTAGGATACCTGGTCGGCATGGACAAGTTGGACTGAATGATCTGTATCTATGCTGTACAGCTCTACGAATCTAACCAATTACTGGAAAGAGATCTCTGCCACAGCAAGTAACTTAGTTGGAGATTCAGAATCACAGAATTCCTAGAATGTGGAGGCAGACCATTTGGCCCAATGAGTCCACACCGACACTCTGAAGAGCATCCCACCCTGACCCAATCGCCTACCCTATCCCTGTATTTCCCATGGCTAATCCACCTAACCTGCACATCTTTGGACTCTGGGAGGAAACTGGATCACCCAGAGGAAACCCATGCCGATGGGGGGGGGGGGAATGTGCAAACTTCACACATTTGTCCAAGGCTGGAATCGAACCCGAGTCCCTGGTGCTGTGCGGAGGCAGTGCTAACCACTGAGCCACTGTGCTGCCATTTCTCAACCAACATTTGAAATACAGAAAATTACAGTGCTCTAGATAGGCAGGAGCATAATGGCATTAATGGTGGTGTTGCCATTAGAAAATTTCACACAAACATCATGTGCTAAGTGGCTTGTCTCTGTACTGTAAATTTCTAAAGCTAAAAAGAGGTGACAGTTTAGCTCAAAACAATATGGCAGAATGTTTGTTTGTCTTCTGGACCTTAAAAGAGCTAGATTTGACGTGTCAGCAGCTTGGCTATTTTAGCTATATTCAATTGTAAACAATATGTAAGGAGCAGGCAATCAACGAAAGGGAAAAAATAATAGCCTGTTTACTGCTGTGCTAACATATTTTATACACATGGTCACAGGTGGATGGCTTGCAGATTATTTAAGGTGTGAGGCCAATTGTACCATCCTTACGATTGCCTTGGGTGGGTCACCTAGGTGAAAGTTTTAAGATTATCCTGGGCACATTACATTACAAACTTACCAAGTAAGCCATTGAAAGTGCAAGTAATCATTATAAGGATATTGTAAAATGAATTTTATAACTTCAACCAAACCAGCGAATAAACCATATTTGCAGCAAACATGACAAAGCTGATTATAAATAATTAAATAAGAAAAGTATTTAGAAATCTAAAGATTTATTTCATACCATCAAAAATTATATTTCATTATCAAATTCTGAAAACAGGACTAGACATTATTTTGGAACTTTATATAGGAATGGGGAGTCTCTTACTTTTTATATATAAATTCCTCATTTTCTTTTGTGATAGGAGGGAGCCAAACAATATTCTTACCTCCAGCCTGGTTTGCAATCTGTACAGTGGTGTAATGCACTACATTTCCTGCAGTTCTCACTACATCTTCTACACATATTATCACCTAGAAATAAACAGAAATACACAAGATAAAAGAGAAATTTGATCTGCAACAGGGAATGGGAAGAAAAATTTATAAAAGGTGCAAGAATTATTTATTGTCTATTGCACCTCAAAACACCTCTTGTCTAATAGTCTTCCCAAGTAAATGGTTAACCACACATGCACATTAAATTTTTTCCCTAAACAAATGGAGTTTCTGCATTGCAATATAGACAAGCAGTGGTTGGCAAAATGTTTCAGAAACTTTATTGCACTAACAGTTCACAAAAGGGATTTTACTCTCATACCTGATACTAAGCAGGAATGACCCAGACTATTTCAGTACAAGCACTAAGATCTGTGGGCGCATTTACTTCTGGGCCTCGGAAAAATGAATTTGGCTTGTGTGGCTGGATCACTTCATTTACTTTCATGTCAGAACATTTTAACTCACTTAAGTATTTTAAGTTTTGCCTGCACACTTGGGAACCTCAGAAAGCACACCAGCAAGGAAACAATGATGGTGGAATACCAGAATGCTTCTATCTCTTGTTCGTACTCTGGTTCCAAGTATTCTCCAGGGAAGTTTTATTGCCCTCAAGTGTTCTTCTATACTTTCCAGAATCCCTGCGGGTTCCTTCATTTTTCCTGCGATCAGCCAAGGTGCATGTGACAATCTCTAAGGATTTACTTGAATTCTCCTTGGTCTCCCAGTCTCTCTCTTGGATTTCCAAAGTTTATTTTCTCAGACCATGGGAACAGAAATAGGCCATTCAGTCTGTCAAGCCTGCTCTATCATTCAATGCGATATGGCTAATGGAACACTTCAATGCCTTTTTCCATGCCACTCTATCCCCATAATCCTGACTACTAGTGGTCTACAGAAACCTAGCGATCTATACCTCAAACATACTCAAAGGCTGAGCTTCCACAGTTATTGGTGGGAGAGAAATTACAAAGGTTCACAACCCTCTGAACAAAAATGTTACCTCATTGCAGGCCTAAGTGGCATCCGCTTATTTTTAAACTATGCCCCTGGTTCTAGACTCTCCAACCAAGGAAAACATCTTACCTACATTAACTTTGTTTATCACTTTAGTATTTAGTACATTTCAACGAAATTACCTCTCAACTCTTTGGAACTTTAGAGAATACAGGCCCAGTTTGTCCAATCTCACTTCACTGAGCAATCCTGCCTTCCATCGAACAAATCTGGTAAGCCTTCACTGCATTCCTGTGATGGCATTAATATCTTTTCTGAGATAAGGAGACCAAAACTGAATATAGTCCTCCAGGTGTGGTCTAACCAAACTCCAATACAACTGAAGCAAGACTTCACTTCTCCTGTTTGCAAATCCTCCAATTAAAGGCTAATATTCCATCAGTCTTCCTAATAGCTTGCTGCACCTGCATGTTAACCTTCGAGGTCTAAACAAGGATACCCAAGTCTTTGGATTCCACTGATGTGCTCTTCCAATATTACCAGATAAATCTAGTAATTGTAATTCCTCATGCACTTCGACTTTTCATTCCAAACTTTGGCCACTTGCTATTCCTGCTTAGTGACCTCAGTACAGCAAAACCAATAATCCCTCATGGCCTTTATGCTCCTTGTTCTAGATGATGGTGGTACACAACTGTGTTCTCTTAGCCTTTGAAACTTAACTCTGTCAGCTTTCTCTCAATCTTCCAAGTTGGTGCACTGCATGTTTCAGTGGGAAAAATATACAAATAGAGTCCACACAAAACGGTAGTTCCCTGCAACCCATCTCCAGGGCAATGCAGCTTACCCGAGATGTTTCAAACAGAAAATTAAATAATTATGTATCATCTTCAAAATAACCCTTTGACTTTGAGGCCCACATGAAAAATTTATATTTCTAATCGAAGTTCAAGCCCGCTCACTAGACTTACTGGTTCTTTCCAGAAACTCTGTTTGCAAGTTGATTTTAGCTTATTTAATCTGGTTATGACATTAATAATGTAAATTCCTTATTGAAATAATTATAGACATCCTGTCTCTAATAAGAGCTGAGGGATGTATCAGCAATTCTTTTTTTAAAACAAACTCTTATAAAATAAATACAAGTTATTGTTTGAATTTTAGTTACCCCAGTTTTGTTTACCAGTTTCTCAAATCAACTGTTTCCATTTAAAATTAAACATTATTTCCCAAAACATATCACTCATGAAATCAGATATTCATGACACCAGTCAGGGAACCCAATGAAGAACGCTCACCAAAAATATTTCAATTAACACAAAAAAAAGAGAATCAGAAAGCGACAGAATAGTCTAGGAATAGATGTATTGTTAGGCAATATGAACATGAGAATTAATAGCTCAAAAGGACTCAGCATCCACAGTTCAAGGTGAGAGATTCTACATTGAAACCACAAGAAAAGCAACACCAGTTTTTTCAAGCAGTCTCAGCTGGAATCAACATAGAGGAATTTATCAATTTCAACAATCAGTACAAATCACCATTTAATCATCTTATGCAATTATTGTTTAATTTGTTTCATATAAAAAGAACTCACGTTTATCGAGGTAGAAACTATCTGAGCAGTTAGGTATGCAGACATTAGTCTCTTCATTTAAGTGGTAGCCAGTTTTACAGGCTGTGCATTGGTCACTCCGGCTTCCTACACATGCATCACAGATTGACCAGCACTTTTTACAACGTTTCTTCTCATCACCAAAGAATCCATTTGGACATTCAGGAACACAAGTTCTGCATTAATGGCAAATGACCAACATTAGACTTGGAATTCTTTACCCTTTCCTCAAGAGAGGAATTATCACACAAAATTCGTATCAATCTTATATAGCATTCAACACCTATAAAAAGATATGACCTATCTCAGACCAATCACGAATGCATCTGCTACCTCATTAGCACAGTGTTAATCTTCCAAAAATCACTGGATTCAGGAGAAGTTCAATCAAACTGGAAAGTAACTCTCGATACTCAAGAAGGTAGGTGGCAGAAACCAGAAAACTACCGGCCAGTTAGCTTGATGTCCATCATGGAAAAGGTGTTAGAATTAATCATTACGGAAATCATAGCTGCACACTTGGAAAAGCAAGGTAATTGGAAGAGTTAGCTTAGTTTCAAAGGGCAATCATGTTTAACCAATATATTTCAGTATTTTTAAGGAGTAACGAGGTGGGGGGAGATTCGCTTTTGTGGCACGATGGTAGTGTCACTACCGTGGACCAGGAGGCCCAGGTTCATGTCCCACCTATTCCGAAGGTGTGTAATAAATGTCTCTGAACAGGTTGGTTAGAAAAATACGTTAAATAAAAATAATTGAAACAGTAACATGCAGTGTGGATAAATTGCAGCCTGTTGACATTCTATACTTGAATTTCCATGAAGCATTTGATAAAGTGCCGTGTCAAACGTGATTGTGGAAATAAAATCTGTGTAAAGTGTAAGGGGTAATATATTAGCATAGATGGAAGAGTGGCTGGATGCTCTGCATAAATGGGTCTCTGATTAACAGAATGTGATGACTTTTTACAATTTACATCAAGAACATCAAATGATGGGAGTGAAGGTATGGTAGGAAATCTTTGTCATCTTCAAATTATGTAGGAAAGTATGTTGTGAAGATGACATAAGGAAGATGCAGACATATTTAAAAAGGTTGAGTAAGTCCAAAATTTGGAAGATGGAGTATAATGTGAGAAAACGTGATGTTGTTCCTTTGGCAGAGAATTATAAACAAATTATTTACTTTGAGAACTCTGAGGTGCAGACAGATCTAGACGTTCTGATGCACGAGTCACAAAATGCTCATATGCAGGTACAGAATGTAATCGAGACTGTTAGCAGGAATGCTGCCTTTCGTTGCAAGAGGAATTGTAAAAGTAAGGATTCAGTTATACAGGACACTGGTGAGACCACATCTTGAATACTGTGAGCAGTTTTCTCACCTCCCTACCAAAACAGCCAGACCACTAGCAGGTTGAGAACACAATTAAAGGCTTTGCAAAGGCTCTTTAACGGACCCTCAGGATGAACATCCCACTTTCAGGTTTCCCCTGTAAATTGGGGGGAAGTGGAAATGATGATACAGTAATATTGTCAAGGGGAAGGTTTCTGATAATGGGATTTTGAGACTGCAGCAACCACAGCAATAGAAAAGTTGATCTGCTCACTCAGCCTCTCATTCTTGCCTGGAGATCCTACTGTGGGATCTGAGGAGCTGCTGTCCAACTGTCATCAATGTACAGACCTGTGAGCATCTATGATCTGTTCAAACTGGCCTCAGGAGTCAAGGTGAATGGAGACAAGAATGAGACCATATTCTTTAAAAACTAGGTTGACCAATCCTTTATCTCCTTCAGGATCAGACCAGATGATGTTGGGAATATGGTTTGGAGGGGGCAAGAGCATGTACTAAAAGCTGGGAGGACCATATCCCCACACTGGGATGGAAACCAAGCATGTGGCAGCAATATTCCCTCCCTATTACCCTGGTCATCAGGCGTGAGCTGCACACGGTGTTGCTGCATATAGTGCAGGTCTAGCCTATTCCCCAAGCTTATGCAACAATAGTGACCCATCTTCGACTTTATTTGAGGGACACCATGTATAAAACCCTGGACAGAGGAGAGAAAATTGTCCCAAACCTCATCCTCATGGCACCTCTGTGAGAGGCTGCCTCATGCTGGGAGTGCGCTCTCAGTATGCAAACACCAAGTGCCACTGTGTGCTGAGATTCTACCTGTCCTCTGATGAGGAGGATGGATCTGGCCTCATTGCTTTAAGGAGTTAAGACTGTAACAGGACACCTGACCTTCGTGGAAAGGTTTGCACTGAAAAATATCTTTGACATATCCATCAGGCAGTGGTCAGCACATTATATCTTTGATAGCCTGCAGGAAAAGGAGACAGTTGATCCTGTCAGATTGTTCTCTGAGCACACTGTTCAAGTCATTTGGCAGACTGATTCATTGCTAGAACTTTCAAGCAAGCACCAAGATGCAGCTCTGTTGGTGGAGAGAAGGGCCCTCTTGTCAGGTTGTGCATGCACACCTAAACTCCCAGCGCTACCATACGATGCCCACAAGATGGCTGTGATGGTCAAAAGGCTGTCGCACATTTCGTTCTGGATGGAAGATGCCTTTGTAAAGGAGGTCTGGAGAGGCTTATAGTAATTTTGGATGCAATCGATCCCAATCAACTCAGTGACGCCGTATTCTGTGCTCTATGGGCTATGCTCGTGGACGCACACCAGGAAAAATATCACCTGCACCTGAAGGACCATCAACTTCCTGGAAGATGCCCTTCATTGTGCCCAAAACCTGTTGGTTTTCCAGTGTAGAGACTTGTCCTCAATACAGTGTTGCAGACTGGTGTATTCCAAGATCCAGGATTACCTGCTGAGGGGTCATTAATGTTTTGGGAAACTGCCATAAAGGCACAATGGGGAAAGCTCACTGCCTGAGGCCTTTCAACCTCAGTGTTACTTATAGAACCCATTGGGTTGTATGTTCATCACTGAATGTATATAAGAAATGTCATGAGTATTGACATTGGATTGAAGCCCTTGCAAGTACAACATTCTCAAAATGAGAAGGGTTCCATTTTATTGCATTTTTCATAATATCCAATTTGGAATGTACTTTTACATAATTCACAAATAAGATATTTTTACAATAATAAAATAGTAGGGAAAGGCTAACCTCTTAGTAAGGACAATAGTGGTTGAGGAGGTCAGCAGTAGTGTGGGAAACTTCAATTTGATGACAGTGAGAGGACTAAGGGGATCCAGGAATTCAGGAGGATGAGAAAGGTGAGCTGCAGAACACTTTCAAGTCTATACTGAATTTCCCAGCAGTCACCTGAACAGTACTCTTAGGAATACCACACCTTGCAGCTCCAACTCATCTCGCTCTCATCAGGCACCTCTTTGTACTCCACCTGGACAGCAAACACTTGCATTTGCCCAAATCCCATTACCTTATAAATGCCCATTCCTCACACTCCACAATATTTTGCCCTTCCTTGCTACTCATAGGGGCCACTGCCAACACACAATTTCTCTCCTTCCAGAAGCGTGAGCACAACCTTCGACAAAGGCAAAGATATGGGTTTTGGTAGTGGTGGAGGCGATCTGGGAGTTGGAGTTGAGAGAGATTTTGGGATAGATCTCCAGTGACAGGCACTCTGAAGATTATTTTTATGTGATCACATCACCAATTGTAAAGAGGGACCTGTTCCGCAAGGTTTCAGACATCAGTAATGTCCAACCATCAAACCCTTGAGCCTCCTGGCGCACTCATGCTCAGAAGTGGTAAAAACGCTGATCCCCTACATATAGGCCCTACCCTGAAGGTGTTGTTTCCTTCAAGCTGAATCTTTGTAACCACCTCCTCTGTCCTGTGAAACAGGATATTACTGAGAAGACCGTGCTTCTGGTGTTTACACTGTTGTTACTCCTCTTGCTCTTTGTCGGAGGTGCAAAGTAGAACTGCATAAACTGTACCCATGTTGTTGAGAAGGCTAGCAGCAGGGAAGTATAGCTGAAATTGAGTCAAATACAAGACAGGCCAAGTGACTTCTAAGAAATTGGCAATCACTTGTTAAGCATTGAAAACACTTTGAGAACACTTCACAAGAGGCAGAACCCTTGATTGGAACAAGAACTCCTTACTATTACCATACTAAACGTCTTACCAAATGGCTGCATGAGATTTCTCTGCTCACCTTCCAATCCATCCAGGTGAAAGCTAGAATATATTGGGATAAAGTTGTCTTCCTAAACTGACACTTGTAGGGATTAATTTCCTGAGATACATCCACACGTGCCTCCCTCCCCTTGGATAAGGAAATTCTCTTGTGAGTTAACCTACCTTGTGTTGTTTTTAAACTTGAGGAAGTAATGCAAACAATCAATGCATTGTTGAGGCCCAGGTCCATCACAACCATTAATACATTCAGTGTGACAGGGTCCTAAACAAAGAGTATAATGTACTTTAAATAATTTCTCATTTTTTAAAAATCAAGAAAAGCATTTTATATAGAAAATGTATCTGTAGAAATTCTGAACGAATATTGCTAAAAAACACACTTCAAACATAATTCACTCATTACTCAGAATGGAAAATACTGATAATAAAAATTAAGTCTAAATGTCTTTCACCATACAAAGTCTCTGTAATTTTTTTTTATATGAAAAGTGTAGGGATAGCACCCTCTTCACAAACCCATAGAAACAGGAACCAAAATTCACTTAACTTAGATAATTATTGTAATGACCATCTGACAGCTTATCCATAGCAAGAAAAGATTTCATTGTGGAATGGAAATCCTAGATGAGAACTACTTGGTGAAACATGATTTTAATCCTTGTTTTATTAAACAACTTCTGATTTTAATTTCCATGATATGTAACCATTAAAATTTCTACAATATGATGGTATCATGGTGTGGTCTTTAACAGATTCTTGCAAAATATGTAAGACCTGGAATTATAAAATCATTGAAATGCATGGCAAAGGGGGATATTCAACCTGTCACAACTGTGTCAACCGTGAGAGTTTGGCAGATGGAATATAATGCGGTGAAATGTGAGGCTATGCACTTCGGCAGGAAGAGTAGAGGAGCTGAATATTTAACTGGAGAAAAACTTCAGAAAGCCACAGCTCAGAGGGATTTGGGAGTCCTCATCCACAAATCATAAAATTTATGGGAAATAGGGAAGGCAACTAGAATGCTGGCCTTTGTTCCCTTTTGAAATAGATTATAAAAGTAGGAAGGCTTTGTTAAAACTATGCAAGGTACTATCACACCATAGCAGGAGTACCGTAAACAGTTTTAAGACCCCGATCCAAAGAAAGATATAAAAGGCATTGCAGGCAGTTCCCTAGGCTGATACCAGCTATGGAGGGACTGTCTTATGAGGAGAGGTTGACTATACTGGGCCTGTACTAACATAGAAGAATGGAGGTTGACCTTATCAAAGCATGCAAGATTCTTACAGGATGTGACAGGGTAGATGTGGAAAGGCTGTTTTCCTCATGGGAGCATCTAGGACCAGAGGACATAATCTCAGAAGAAGGGATCACACACTTAAGACCAAGATGAGGAGGAATTTATTCTCTTAAAGGGATGTGAGTCTGTGGAGTTCTTCACCATAGAGGGCTGTTGAGGCTGAGTCATTAAGTAATTTCAAGGCTGAGACAGACAGATTTTGAATCAGTAAGGGAATCAAGGGTTATGGGGAAAAAGCAGGAATGTACAGTTGAAGATTATCAGAGCAGCCATGTTCTCATTGAATGGAAACCAAAAGGACTGCGGATGCTGTAAATCAGGAACAAAAACAAAGTTGCTGGAAAAGCTCAGCAGGTCTGGCAGCATCTGTGAAGAAAAAATCAGAGTTAATGTTTCGGGTCCGGTGACCCTTCCTCAGGGCTGTCACCGGACCCGAAACGTTAACTCTGATTTTTTTGTTTTTACTTTGAATGGAGCAGACCTGATGCAGTAAATGGCCTACACTGTTACTATGTCTTACATTCTTGTAGAACTAACTAGTCAAATCCCATTTTCAAGTTCTTACCTCCTAGCTTTGTTAGGTTATGGTATTTACTTTTTAAAATATCCTTTCAGGCAGCAAATTTCAGACCCCCACCACTCTCTCTCAGCTTCCCTCTAATGATACCCCTTAGTTATTAACTTTCCTGCAGAGGTAAACAGTCTATCCGATCACACTATCTAGACCCCTTATAATTTTATATAGTACCGTTAAATCTCACCTCAACCTTCTTAGTTCCAACAAAAATAACACAATCTATTCAATCTTTCATCATAGCTATAATTTTACAGTCTTGGCAACATTCTCATCAGTCTCCTCTCTATCCTTGCTGGTATGATCCTTTCTTAATTGTGGCAAGCAAAACTCTGTGGTAGAGAGCTGAACTATGCAGTTCTAGTGTAACCTCTTTGCTCTTAGATTCTATGTGTTGGCTCATAAAGAAACTTATTGCATATATTTTCTTAATTTCCTAACCCTCAATTAATACCTCAAGAAAAAAAAAAAAAATCAGTCGTGTCAGACATGACTGCCTGTTAATAAAACCATGATGAATTTCTTTTTTTTTTTTAAAAAAAGTCCATACCTTTCCAAAGAATGGTTAATCTGTTCTTATGAAGTTTGTCTGACAGTTTTTCCATTATTGCAGTTCAGCTGTCTAACTTTGTAATTATTCAATCCAAGCCTTTTATTGTTAAAAAAGGAAACGTACAATGTAACCATTCATCCTACACCACATCTATAATTAAAGATAATTTTAAATGGTCAGCTATTTCCTCCCTTGCACTTTTTTTTGCTTAAAACAGATACACTTCATCCAGGTCCGGTGATTTAACTGTTAGATAGAGTCTTTTATATATCCTCTCCAAATTACGTTGATCCCATCAAATGTTTTGAACTCCAGTTTTCAAAGATCATGTCTGCAGTGTTTTCTATTTTGTGATGGTAGGTGTAACCAAGAACCATGCCCAGATCTTTCATCTCTACATTCAGATTACCTTTTTGGTGTGTAATTTGGTTCCCTCCCTCCCTACTCAGCCTTTTGCTATTTATAGATTTCTAAAAGATCATTGGATTTCCCTCAATTTTACTTGTCATTTCTATTTCAATCTCCCACTTTGCTTTCTTAAATTCCCTTGTAATTTCACCATTGCATTTTCTTTTCTTTATGTGTTAAGCACTAGGTATTTGGCATCAGTTTACTTTTTTTTTGCCTTATCCTGCTCTCTGTATTGCTTCAGATTCAAGGTGTTTTAGATTTTGCAGTCATATCATTTATTTTTTCAGTATGCATTTTAAAAAATTGTGTCCCCTTTATACCTTTGAATTGGCGCTATCCAGTTACTAATGAGAAGTCTCCATTATCAGTGTCCTATTACTTTTGTACTGCATAAGTTTGCTCACTTACTTGCTCTTGTATCATCCCCTGGCTCATTAGAAGTTTACAGTACTCCACACAGTGTTAGTGTGCTTTTCCTGACCTTCAGTTCAACCAAATGGACCCATTTCATGACCTTCCTAGCATATACTCCACCTTCACAACTATTTCTTCCATGGGAAATGATATTAGGAAATTGATGGAACTGAAGGCAGGTAAAACTCCAAATGTTAATCTACAATCTAGAATACTAAAGGAAGTGGGCTGAGAAATAGTGATTGTCAACTTCCAGGAATCTACAGACTCTGGAACTGTTCCTGCAGATTGGGGGGTATCTAATGTAACCCCTGTATTTAAAAAGGAGGGGGTGGGGGAATGCAAGAGAAAACCAGAATTTATAAATCATTTAGCCTGATGTTGGTAGTGGGGAAAATGCTAGAGACCATTCTGAAAGAGGTAATAGCTGAGCACATGGCAAACAGTGGCAGGATCAGACAGACTCAGTACAAATTTATGAAAGGGAAACCTTGCTTGTCAAAATCTGAAATTCTTCAAGAGTGTAATTGGTCAAATTAATGAGGGGGAGCCAGAGGATGAGATTTACTTAGACTTTAGAAGACTTTTGACAAAATCTCATGTAAGAGATTAGCATGTAAAATTAAAACACACTGGATAAGGGTAGTGTATTGAGATGGAAAAAGAAAACTAGTTGGCTTACAGGAAATAAAGATTAGGAATAAGCAGGTTTTTATTCCAAATGGCAGACAGTGACTCGTGGGTTACTGCAGGATCAGTGCTTGGACTGCAGCTATTAATGATATAAATTAATGATTTAGAAGAGGGAACTCAAAGGAATATCACCAAACTTTCAGACAACACAAAGCTGGGAGGGAGGGTATGCTGTGAGGGAGATGCAGAGATGCTTCAGTGCAAGTCGGACAAGCTGAAGGGTAAATGCATGCCAGTTACAGTATAATGTGAATATATGTGAGATTATTCACTTTGGTAGCAAGAGGAGGAAGGCAGGTTATTATTTGAATGGCTATAAATTGAGAGAAAGGAGTATGCACTAAGACCAGCGTGGCCTCATATATGAGTTGCTGAAGGTAAGCATGCAGTTCCAGCAGATGTTCAAGAAAGCAAATGGTATGATGGTCTTCATAGTGAGAGGGTTTGGGTTCAGGAGCAGGAATGTCTTGCTGCAATTATACAGGGGATTGTTGAGACCATGCCTGGAATACTGAGCACAGTTCCAGTCTCCTTAACTGAGGAAGGATGTATTTCCTATAGAGGGAGTGGTGCAAATGTTTATGAGACCGATTCCTAGAATGGCAGGACTGAAGCAGAAAGACAGGTTGAATCAGTTAGGATTATATTCACTTGAGTTGAGAAGAATGGGGGTGTGGGGTTGGGAGAGAGAGAATCTAACAGAAACCTATAAAATTCTAATAGGACTAGACAAGGTAGATGCAAGAAGGATGTTCCCGATGATGGGGACGTGCAGAACCAGGGGTCACAGCCGATGGATACAGGGTAAACGATACAGGACTAAAATGAGGAGAAACTTCTTGGTTAAGAGAGTGGTGAGCTTATGGAATTCACTAACAAAGAAAGAAGTCGAGGCCAAAACATTGCATGATTTCAAGAAGGGTTTGGACATCACACTTGGAGCTAAAGGGATCAAAAGGATGTTGAGGGAAAGCAGAGACATGCTATTAAGTTGAATGATCAGTTACAACTATAATGAATGGCAGATCAGGCTCAAAGGGCTGAACAGCCTACTCCTTATCCTATTTTCTATGACTCCCTCCTTTACAATCTCTCTATATCACACGTGAAACCTCTTTAAATTTGTAATACTGTGGCCATTTCTGCCTCCCTTGAAGCCTTGTTTTGTTAAATACTAAATAGCATTGACTCATCAAATTTCCAATCATCTATATGTACCCTGAGCTCATTTATTTTATTCACTAGACTCCTTGCATCCCACTTGTCCCAAAGGTGTTTCATAACATGTTAATTATAACTAATCATTTGTTGTCT